AAAGAGATCCTCCAAATTGATTCAGTTTCATATTATTTTAATTCTATGTCATAGTTAAGTTTATAAACCAGAGATATCCCAATGACAATATGGTGACATTTGTTAAAAACATGATATCCCAATGACAATTGTTTTGATTATTTTGATTATTTTGATAGGAGGAAAGATAAAATGCTATCCTCCCTTTTTACACAACAGCTGTCCTTTCATAGTTTATAAACCAAAAGAGATCCTCCAAATTGATTCAGTTCTACATATTCTTTTAATTTCTATGTCATAGTTAATAAAATGCTAAACAACATGAGTTTATAAACCAAAATGACAATATGGTGACATTTGAAAACATCAAGCCTATTGTTTTGATTATTATTTTGATATAGGAGGAAAGATAAAATGCTATCCTCCTTTTTTACACAACAGCTGTCCTTTCATAGTTTATAAACCAAAAAGAGATCCTCCAAATTGATTCAGTTCTACATATTCTTTTAATTCTATGTCATAGTTAAGCAAAACATGATATCCCAATGACAATATGGTGACATTTGAAAACATCAAGCCTATTGTTTTGATTATTTTGATATAGGAGGAAAGATAAAAATGCTATCCTCCCTTTTTACACAACAGCTGTCCTTTCATAGTTTATAAACCAAAGAGAGATCCTCCAAATTGATTCAGTTCTACATATTCTTTTAATTCTATGTCATATTCTTTAAATGAATAAAAAAAGATTATAATCTCTAAAGTTATTAAACAGTCAAACAAAACTATTTTCTATGCATAAATGACATTTTTATATGATCAGTTGAAAGCTAAAGAAGCTAAGAGAAATGAATTTTTAATAAAATTTCTATACAATAATAATAACAATGATTTTTAAATGTTAAAGTAAAACTATGAAGGATATTAATATTATTATATTAAAATCAAATTCATTAATTTTATACCTTCAAGGATGTAAAGCAAGCCTTAAGCATGTATTATAGACCAGAAATCAATAATGATTTTTCATTGGTACAATTGGTTATTAAAAAAAAAAAAAAAATTATAGAACAGCACTACAATTGTTGTTAGATCGACCATGCAAAAAGAAATTGATGGAATGGAAAAAGAAAAAAATGCACACAAACACACACCTGCCCAGCCACACACACACAGAATATACTAACCACAAGTCAAACTTTCATACTGTTATAATGTCTGGACTAATGAATCCCAAACAAGTGGAGCTACAAAACAGAAAAGGATACTAACAAGATATGACATCTGAATGTAATTTTAACAATCATTATTTTATCCAAAAACATATTGTGTAAATAATATCAATTTCTCAAAAGGCAGCATTTGTACAAGTCATTAATCAAAAAAAAATTACAGGATTTTGGAAAAGGTTTTTGGTTTTTTTTTTAAGTAACAAATAACAGATCCAGATAAGAACATTTAACTAAACAAAGCAAACCAAACTGAATCATATTTTTTCCCTTTTCAATTTTAAAATTGTTGCATCTCCAGTCCATATCTGAATAAAATGGCAAATGTCATTATAAAAACCTATGAGCTTCTCAGTATTTCTTGTACCTTTGAAACTGGTGAAAGCTATTAGAATTGTTTAAATGAAAATCAAAGGTTGAAGAAGAACTAAAATTTACAACAATATTTCCATCTAAACGATGGAAATATTGTTGTAAATTTTAGTTCTTCTTCAACCTTTGATTTTCATTTAAACAGTCAAATTTGACTCAACAAAAATGTTTCTAATACACTTTACCAATATCTTAAGCATAAAAATTTCAGATAGATTATATCTCTAAAAAGGACAATAGGAATAAACACAAAAGGAATAACTTAGCCAACACATTTTTTAAAAAAAAAAAAAAAAAATTTCATAAACATCACTTACTCACTTTTGTTTATTAGACACTGAATTGTATCACTTGGTGTCCTCCAGTTTACATGGCTTTTCAGCTAACCTAATAAATATTTATGAACATTCCTAAACTTTAAAATTTTGAAAAACCAATAAAATTTTTGCTCTTGTATATAAATAGTTGTTACAAAATAAAATCCTTGTATTTGCCTTGATAAAATCCCTCAGAGGACAAAATGCATCAGATAAGATAAATTTTTCTTGTCTTTATTCAATATCTTAAGTTCTTGATGCTGTGCTTGAGTCATACTTGTCTTTTCCTTTTTAACACAAGATATCTACAAATGGATTACACTTAATTGACAAGTATCACACTATTTTCCCTAGGTCAATAATACAGTAACTTGTGCATATCTTGAACTTTTTAATTGGATTAGTGAACAAACTCAATAACCACAAAAACAATCAAGTGCCTGCAAAAAGAAATTTTCAAAAAAAAAATTTTTTTGTTAATATAAAACTCTAGCATTGCACAAAGTACTTGAAAATATTAAAATTTTCAAATGACATAACTGTTTTAATCTTATATTTTATCTATTCTCTAAGCTGTTCAATATTTTAATTCAACAAAACCAATGACAAAACTTCAGATGGAAAACTGAAAGAAAAACAGTATCTGTTGGAGAAGAGAAATTTAAACTGATTGAAGCCAGAACAAATTTTTCTTACTGAAAATTCAGTCTGCAAATGTGAGGATGGTTGAATTTCACTGGAATTATTTTCAAATTTCAGAAAACAATGGTTGCATTTGATTTTTAAGTTCTAAATATAAACATGAAAGAGAAAACAAGATCTTAATATACAATATTAAGCTAGGAGTCCCAGAAAGCTAGGAGGTGGAGGGGAAGAACTGTATAGTGTAGCAACTAGAAAATGTGAAACAACAATACCTTCTGTGATTTTGAGAGGACCCCCTTATCATTCCAAGATGCCCCAAAGACTCTTGTCATGATACCTACAGAAATAACTAAAAAATTGTATCTGCTCTCAGACAACCAGAAATCTTTTTTTCTTTTTTTTTTAGTTAAAAATGAACCAGTAAGTGATCCTTTCAGTTAAGGTTTAACAAAAAAAAAAAAAAAAATATATATATATATATATATATATACACAGGAACAGATTAGAAAAATTCAAAACCAGTTTCAACAATATTAGTGATTTAATTTCCATCTCTCTGGATTACTTATAGGGGAAATATTTAGAGAGCTTCTTCATTAGAAGAAAATTGAAAATTCTTTAAATTTCTCTCAAACAAAGAGCATAATAAATGAAAACTTATTAATTTTTGACTAGTTGTTCTTCAATCTCATTTCTGATGTTTCTTATTGAAATGTTAAAGCCATTCTTACATTCTCTGACTGTTAAGCAAGCCTCAAAGATTGGAAATAATGCTTAAGAAGATTAGAATGTAAAAACAGCTTGAGCATTTTAGTTACAAAAAATAAAATAAAATTGAAGAAAAACTAATAAAAAAATTAAAAAGTGATAATTTGAACAAAATAGAACTTGATTTATGAAGAAGACTAGAAATATAATAATAAAAATAATAACTCGTTTTCATTTGGTGTAAGCAGTCTTTTTAGAATAACTAACATGAATTTATGAATATAAAGGGATGTTTGAAATACAAGTGAAAGTTTATTGTGAATCAAAAACAAGAGTAATTAAATGCATTTCAGGGCTGATTTATAGCAATGATTGTATCTGAAGTTGATAACAGATGATACTTGTTGTAAGGACAGGTTTTAGGAGAAACTTATCTTTTCTTTGCAGACTAACTAATTCCTAAAATACTTCCAATTCTGATTTCCTTTTTCGTTTAATTTTATTGCAGAAAAAAATAACATTTTTTAGTCATCTCATGCAAAACATAGTTTGTTTTAAGCTTACTTTGTATTTTATTAGAAATAAATTTCTCCGGATTTCATACAGGTGGGTGACTATTTTGAAGCTTTAAAACTCATAAAAAGAAACTCTGAATCATACAAAGAGATTTGTAAAGAGAATTTATTTCATTCAAGGGCCAGGAGGTTTGAAAACAGTAGAAGAAAAGGTAAAAAATGGAAACAACAAATTTTGCATTAGGGCCTCATTAACAAATTTGGGAAACCCGGAAATATATTTATACGTTTCAGTAGTAATTTTTATTTTCCATATAAACACAACCTTGTCTTTTCAGCTTCATGTGGTAATTCTGTAGTCTTTGAAGAGTCATTCTTGTGTTGTCAAAAGAGTTGAATAAGTCTTTGCATTAATGCTTCAACTAATCTGTACCAATTTTAAAGGAGTGTCTCCAATCATTTTGAGGTCAGTTGTTTTTGTTGTTTTCTTTTTTTTGTTGTTGTTTAGGACTTAACCTTCTCTTGGTGAAATTATAGAAATAAAATATTTGAAATGACATGTTAATGAGATTGTCTATGTGTAGGTAGGTTATGGTAGGGCAGATCAATCAAGTGAAATTGTCATGTGCTAAGGCTCAGGTTGACTTTAAAGTATATGAAGCTATCAATGTAATTGGATAAATGTGGAATGTTTTTTTTTAAAGCGCTTTGTTGCAGTTTGGGAAAACTTGGATTTCTGAAAGTTAAAATATGTTTTACATGATACACTCTAGATTGTTTTTATGACTTTTCAACTTTTTTTTTATAAACAATTTTGCATTTCAATAGCATTTCCACTTTAGTAACCTTGTTTGTATGCATATTTAATTCAGGAATAGGACTATCATCCTTAACTAAAAAAAAAAAAAAAAAAAAAAAGATTACAAAACAACTTCAAGATATTCTTACATTTAATAAAAATAGATTTTTTTTTTTATCAAATTTTCCAAGACGTGTCAAGCAAAGGCAGGAATCTACTAATCTAAAAAGGTTTTTTTTTTTTTTTTTTTTTTTTTTTTAAATTTCTTCCTAACCTAACCAAGTCAAACCAAATGGCTGACACTAAATTATGGATGACATCTACTGACCTAAACAATAACAAAAAGCAGTCTGCAAGGCAATAAATGTAAAGATCAGACATCCCACTGCCAATTAAAAATAAAAACTCTGTAAACAAATTAGCTCCTAATGCTTACCTTTTATTTTATCATGATTAAGTATTTCAATCAACTTCTCCTGCAAACGTTCATTTCTATCCACCGTTCCTTCAAGCTTAATTCGTTGTGCTCGTAATTCAAGAAGATACTTTTTAAAAGACTCCAACTGACTGTTGTTCAGGCTCTGGTTGGCAGACAGATTCAAAGAGTTTGCAGTTGACGTCTCCAAAAAGTCATAGACGCTGATTTCTTGGCGCAGAGTGTTGCTCAGATCCTGCGAAACAAGCAGGTGGGAACGGATAGCATCCTTAGAAGAAATTGTATTTGATGGAGAAGATGGAAGACTTTTTGAATGATTTGCAGACTCTGTGTTGGTCAACCATGATTGGTGCTGTTTAGACAAACTGATATTTTGCCTGGTTGGATCCAGCACAGAATTGCTAAGTTGCTGGTCAAGAGAATGAGACAAATAGCTGTCCATTGGATGTTGGTCATTTCCCTTGGCAATATTGGCAGGGGACCGAGGAATGTCTTGAGATTCCTTAGGCTGCTGCTGATTAAGATAAAGTTCACTAAGTGACAGTCGGCCAGTAATATCGAGTTCAATCACTTCGGGAAGACTGAAATTATTTGGAATGCTCGCTTCTGAACAAGACTCTGTGCCTCGTGGTATTTCTAATGTGTTTGCAGATTGTTGATTATGTAAACCTCTGAGGGGAGAACGGGGGCTAAAGGATGACTGACTTGCTGATTGTTTCCGCCGGTCTCTATTTGTCGGTGTCGTACTAACAGATCCGCTGATCACCAGTTTAGATGCACACTTGTCCGGGCGAGAACCATCAGGACAGTGAAGTGAAACTTCTGTTGCAGCAGCCGTCATTTTCCGCATAGACTGAAGGGCATCTTCACTCAGTGTGTCCAAAGTCTTTTGGTCCATATTCGTTACACTAAAATAAATAAAAAATAATTATGAGTTCAATTTTTCAAAAGTCAATGCAGAAGAGAAAATACTGCTACATATGACAAAATATTTGCTTATAAAAAATAGCAATATTTTAAGACTCAGCAATAAAACAAAACAGTGAATATTGAAATTTAGCTTTATTATAGATTTATTAGATTGTTTATTTACAAGAATAATTTTATATTTACAACATTCTAAAAACTAATACAATATTATTTACCAAAGAAATAAATGTGAAATCATTCACCATTTTATAAAGCTCAAATATATATATTCTATGATACCACCGGGGAGCTAATATTTTAAGTTAGTATTATAGGCAATCAAATTCTAGGACCCTTCAAAGTTGACGATATTGTCAAGATAAATGTAAAGAATTGGTCCAAAGACAATTTTTGACTGATATTGATCACAATCAGAAGCTTTATGCTAAAGAGTATATTTAGCCAAGTGTCATTCTCTTTCATATTCTGTAAAGCTGAGTGTTACTCATTTTGCCAAAAAAGATTTAAAAAACATCAAATTAATGGAATTGCCCTCAAGCTTCTTCAGATATTAATCTGATAGAAAACTTGATACAGCATTAAGAGAAAGGTATACATAGGTACCCATAATAGCCATAGAAAAGAAAAATAAATTTACATATGTAAATAAATATTTTAGACATTTTTTTAAGACATTGGCAGTCACTCATTGAACCTTCATTATAGATGAAAAATGAAAACAAATTTTTAAATCTCTTAAAAATACTATATTTATCCTAGAAATTTGTTTTAAAGTAAATGAGTAAATTTAAGAATTTTGTACAATTCTTACTGTTTGCTTAAAACATAGTGAAAATGACACTTATTTATGCACAGTAGCCTATGAGCTGTCATCAAGGTCATAGGTCAACAAGAGTAGTTAGGTGCCACCAAAATGGATGAGGTTTGTTTTTTTTTAAGAAATGAAAGAAAGAAAAAGTCAATACACTGTTTTAAAATATTTGCCAAAAATCAAGGAATTATCCAATTCAAATTAAATTTTCAGTATATATTCATTAAAGAATGAATTGTATACCAAATGTGTTATTTTTATAGAAACATTTTTGGGTGGAGTGTTGTTTCACTACTCCTCTTTAGATATCTCATATGTACTTTTTAATTGTGGCGTCAATTTTTTTTTTCTTCTTTTTTACATTTAAAGAAAATTTCTGAATATGTTATTTCAGTAAAAAAAAAAAAGAAATATCAAGTGTAAGCAAACATGGAAAATTCGTCCCAAACCTTACCAAAAATAATTCAATAAAACTCAAAATTTTTTTATTCAAAGTTGCTGCTAGCATAATTTAATAAGAAAAGTTATTTTCTTTCAGATTGGGCAGGAAAGAAATAAACACTTAATTTAATTGTAAAAAAATTACTTGTGATTTTTCACTGCGATTTTGAAATTCATTCCGTTGCTGTTCATAAGTGTTTTTTGTTGTTTTGTTTTTTATTAAACAAAGACATGTTTGAAGAAACAAAAATATAAAGTTTAAAGCCATTTTTCGAATGTGAAGCTTTTTTTAAAATATTTTTTTCTTTTTTAACTGTTACATCATATTTTTTTTAATGGATTTACAAAAAGCAACTAATTCTGAATTATCACCTTTAATTGATTACTTTTTCCTATCGGAAGAGTAATAATATAATATATGATAATTCAATAAGTCTTTCAGAATTATTTAAAAAAAAAAAAAAAAGACTACATGGGTGTAATTATGTATGACATCAAATAGGTAAGAAGATTATAAAAAAATAAAAATGTACTAACTGAAAAAAAATTCTAATGTACCATAAAATAAAATTATTCATTTTACCTGCTTTTATAAAATCGTATAGAATAAAAAAAATATATATTCTTCAACTATTGGTTAAGGTTAAAGATAAATTATTTTTAAACAATTTCTTTGCTTATTGCATTGTTGGTGTTCCATATTTCTTTTAATTTTTCGCGCGCTTTTTAGGAGGTCTTCAGAGATATAATTGTTGACCTCAAATGCTGCTGTGCATAAACGTTATTTCCATTTGTTTTAAGCACAAAATAAGCATTAGGCGTACAAAAAACACTTAATCCTTAAATTTACTGACTTCGAAACATATTCTTTAGGACAAATATTGGATTTTTTTTTTTTTTTTTTTTAGAGATTTTTATATTTGTTTAAGTTTTTCGTCTCATGAATGACGAGTAAAAAAAATAAGTAAAAAAACGTAAATGTTTTTAAAATGCCTAAAAAAACAAAACAGTTAATTACGGAAATTGATCTTCCCTTAGGGATTAGAGAGGCTATTACTATATTTCAAATAAAAGTAAAAGTAAAACCAAAACTCAAGTTCAAAGAAGGAATTATTTAAAATGCATTTTTTCGGGGGGCGTGATAGTACCTAAGAGTTTTAGTCTTATCATCCCCAAAAAGCGCACGTAAAATTTGAAAAGTACGAATGATCAAAATGACTACAATATTCTAAAAACTAGTGGTATTTACTAGGCTTAAACTTACAAAGCCAATAAGAATATATTTTTTTATTCTATATACGCTTTTGTGAAACTTAAGAGTAGAATTAGTTTTATTTTTATAAAACTAAAAATTCCAAGTTTAATAGCATGATTCACTAGTTTTTAATTTCTTTTTTTTTTTTTTATAATTCTCATGATAAGAGTAACCAAAAACTAGTGAAATGATACTTAACTTTTAGTTTCGTTTAAGAGTTTTAAATTCATTACTTTTTTTTATCATTTATTTTCTCATCTGTTTGATGTCATATTTTTAAAATTGTATCCAATCCAATGGTTCTTTTCATTCACTTATGATTTTAAAATTTAAACAAACTAAAAAGGAAAAGAAGGCGGGGGGTGATAAAGAAAATGATTAATAAATTGATCCAGAATTACTTCCTTTTTAAATTTCCGTATTAATCACTAATTAGTTGCAAAAATAAAAATAAAAAATCTTTTAAAATTGTTCACATTTGAAAATTGCATTTTTAAACTTTAAATTTTTAGATTCTTTGAACATGTAAATAAAATAAAAAAAAAAATGTAAAAATTCTTGTTACGAACAGCAATATGTGATGAATTCCACTTTTTTTTAAATAAATATTTTTAAATGTTTGTCTATCAAATCAAAGAAAATGTTTTTTAAGCTCCCAAAGTAGTTTTTTTTTGAGTCTTACTGAATTATTTTTTGAAAAATTCATGATTAATTTTCAGATAAACAACTAATTGCTATTGCATAATTTGCTTATTGAAATAACATCTGCAGAAATTTCTTTACTTTTCTTTAACTCAAACTGTTCAAAAAAAAAAAAAAAAAGAGAACACCCCCCACCCACCCCAATTAAAACGTACACAAAAGATATTGAAAAGGCGAGGGTGAAACTGACCCTTAAAACTAAAAGCATATTACCACAAAGTTTTCTAATAAAATAATAACAATAAGTAAAAATCAATCATCAATGAATAAGTTCTGAAAACCTGGTTTAAATCGGATAAAAATCTTTTTCTTTTTAAACAAACAGGGTGTCGCATTTTTATTGCTTCCATTTCGCAAAGATCGCATCCATTTTGGTGATGGTACTTCTTAGCATTGGTGGAAAGAAAACAATATTCAAGCCAAGATCTCCAGGATAAGCAGTTTTATTATGTAACTGATGCCAGTCGAAAAATTAAAAATCAACGGATGACGATTAGACTTTTTAGAGAAAGTCAAGGAACCTACATTAACTTGTAAAATCATACTTTAGGTGTAGTGTAAAGTGAGTTAATAATGAAATTTGTTTATGGCCTACGTCCTTTGAATTTTGCGCATACCCTTGAAAAACAATTTCTGGAACTAAAAACACGAAGTACATCCTACCTAAAACTTTTAGGCTAAAACTAAAGTTAACATCGGTAGGTTCGTTCAATAGTTACCAATTTTATTGTGAAAAATATTGTCTTGCATCATAAAATCTGAAACTATGAATAAAAATAAAACTGAAGATGTTGGGAAGATTAGATCATCAGACAAAAAAGACAAACAATTTTTTTTTTTTTTTTGCATTTTGCAGAGATTAAGAACATTGGACTCAAATTTTCAGAGAATAATGAAAAGGTCAAGAATATTTATCTCTTCTTCATTTGAAAACCTCATAATCTCACCATGACAAGAGATTACTTTTTAAATTTTTATTAAAAGTCCTCTTTTAAGAGACAAAATTTATTAACATCCATTTAAAAAATACTTAAAGTTCCTAGAAATGATGCTGGGCATCCAACATTCAAATAAAATTCAATTAATTTGCATTTAAACAAAGTTATTTCATTAAAACAAAAACGTAAATTGATTATTAAATAAATTCTATTCCAATGTCATTATTGTCATTATTAATGAAAAGTAGAAAATACTAAACACCGTGACAGTCAGTTTGTAAATAATAATTATTATTACGTTGGAATTGAATAAAGTAAAATACATTAACACTGAAATTAATTATTAATAGAACTCATTTCTTTAATCTTATTAAATGTCAATTTAAATTAAAACATTTATCAGGAAATAAAATCATTGTCATTTAACATGACTGAAAAAAAATGTACACAAATTTATCAAACGATTTATTTAGAAGAATATCAGTCATAAGATTTAAATTCTATTCACAACCTTACAGGAAATCCGAAATAAATATTTCATTTTTTTTTTTTTTGAATTTTACACTTCTCCACATTTCAAAGATGTTTTTTTTTTTTAAGTCTAGCTAGAGACAAAACATCTTTGTTTTTAAAAACATTGTGAAGTTTATTAACATTTTCATTTTCTAAAATTGTCTTTTTAAAAAAATATTCCTGTAAAATTTAAAAAAAGTAAATCCGTTTCATTGTTCATTGCGTTTTGAAAAAAAATGAAAGAACAATGTCTTTTTTTGTTTGTTTTCTTTGTTTAACAAGGCAGAAAGCAAAAACATGGAGCAAAAAGACATCTCT